TAGCACCGTGTCTCTGGATCTGGCCAATATTTTGGCCTGTCATGATTGACAGCCTTAACTAATCTTTATCTTATACAGCTAATTTGATTTCATCATTAGAGCCACAAATACAGTTCTATGATTCAGTTACTTTTAGCTGATAATTTTTACCAGTTAGCTGGAGACTCAAGTTAAATCAGCCTCTCCAATGGTCCACTTAGTGCTATGGAAATCAGCCCTTAAAGAATGAATTTCATCATACAATGGGATTTTCTGTCACCACAGTTATCTCATCATTGTTTGTATTTTTAACCTGAAACATAAAATACCAGATTTCTTTTTCACAGAAAAAGAGGCTCAAGAAAAATTAGTTTTATAGCAGATAACTACAAGGAAGGTGGTATCTGGCAAGTGTGATACTTTGTTATGTTGTTAGGTTATCTCTCCTGGGCAGGACATCACTTTCAATTATAGTCAAACTGAGCAATTGTCAATTATATCATATCAGCTGTAGCTGTAGCGACTGGGAAGAAGTTAGTACAGTATTCATACTCTTTAATAATTATGATGCGTGATTTTAAGAATGGTGTGAAATATAGGGTTTAATTGACCAAAAAAAAAAAAAATCACTCATAGGCCAGATTACAAGGAAATGTAAAGTCTATATTTAAGAAACTAGGCAAAATTCATTTGGGGATGATTTGGTTTAGGCAAATGCCACCTACTAAAATGAGAGAAGCCAAGTATGAAAAATAAATAAGAAGAGGAGAATGAAGAAAAGGGGATAGAAGTTAAATGAGAGAAAGTTAATGAATAAAGTTAAATGAGATAAAGCCTTGTTTTTGGGAAATGAGAGGATTACCTCTTATAGCACAGTGTGGGTTTCTGTATTTATTAAAGGTATCACACCACTAAACATGATCATTCTTTTTTGTAAATATTTAATGATGTAGAGTCCATTATGAGGCCAACTGGTTTGTAGTGAAGTACAGGATGAAATGAAAATTATGCAAACAAATTCAAAGATGGGAAGAATATTGGTTATGTTTCCTCTGGACATATCCTTCTAAGTTACTCTGGGAGAAAAGGGATACAAAGAAGAACAAAGTGGGTGCCAGGTGGCTCAGTCGGTTAGGCATCCGACTCTTGATTTTGGTTCAGGTTATGATCTCAGGGTCCTAGTATCAAGTCCCATGTAGGAATCCATCCTCAGCAGGGGGTCTGCTTGAGATTCTCTCTCTCCCGCTCTCCCTCTGCCCCCACACTTCCCCCCCTCAAATAAATAACTCTTTAAAAAAATTATTATTAATAAGTATGATAAAAAAGCAGCTCATAAAGCAAGGCATAGAACGCTTTAAAATTATTTAAGATGATAAGTCAGAAATAATAAATTATAGTTTTAATGAAATTAAATGAAGAAAGATTTGTTTCATAAAATGTCATTGATCTATCAATACTGGCATTAAGGTATCAAAAAAGAACATTCTAGGGAAGAATATGTGGCATTCAGGAAAACAGGTCTAGGTTGCAATTTCAATTATATAGAAGAATGTTTTACATTAATGTAAAAAATATATTTTTAGAATCCTAAGGAGATAAGAAATTGGGGATTACAGCTATATTATTTAAATAAGAAGTGGTGATATAATCATAATAAAATGGCAGCAGGTAGTTAAGAACTCAAATATTGACTATTTTCAAACAGTCTGTCATTCCATTTTTATATAAACTATGTGTGTTTGCTCCTATTACTAAGTCTGTTTTACATTTGAGGAAACAAAAATGTAGTGAGACCCTCTGGCATGAAAATAGCCACAGACCTCCCAAGTGACAGAACTTGACCTTAGATCCCAAGTTCCTAATCTCTGTGTGCTATTCATTTGCTTGTAACCCGCTATCTCACCTATCCTTCATAAAATTATTAATTTTGGTGACTGAAACATAATTTTTTCAGCTTTTTTTTCAACTAAGCTAAGTATAATTTAGATCTGTACATACACATTAAGGTAAGTAAGTGTAAGTGATGTCTAAATGTGTCTGGATAAAAGTCCAAATTCTTACTGTATATTCAATATGTAATATTGAGGTAGTGTCTATTATATGTATACCCTCATGGATGCAGATAACCTTTTCGGCATTTAAGGAGCTTAGAATATAATTTCGATTGTGAAACCGAAAAGCTACAGCATTGATATTCTTCAATGCCACATCAGGATGTCTGGCTACCAATGACAATTTTTTTCAGAAATATTTAATATATGTAATACAATATATGTCTCATCAATTCTTACCAAATGTTTCACTTATTCTGCTACTTTGGCTTTTTTTTTTTTTAAGATTTTATTTATTTATTTACTTACTTACTTATTTGACAGAGAAAGAGAGCACAGCAGGGGGAGCAGCAGGCAGAGTGAGGGGGAGAAGCAGGCTCCCCACTGAGTATGGAGCCCTGACGAGATGCAGGGATTGATCCCAAGACCCTGGGATCATGGCCTGAGCAGAAGGCAGACACTTAACCATGGAGTCACCTAGGTGCCCCTAATTCTGCTACTTTGACTTTTAGAAAATAGCACTTATTTGTCTTCCCATTATAAATAAGGTGGGAAAATTGTATCACCATGAACAAAGGATAGGATATAACACTTCAATCAGTCACTCTTTTATTTTTTTTATAGTCAAACCAGTTACTGGAAACTATAAACACTTTTAATTTTTTTCTTAACCTGTTACCTTTAAAGTATGGCCCAACACTTCATTATATTTCTAAAACAGATCCAAATCTATCAAAGAGTCACATAAGTCTAGATTTTTAGTTTTTTAATATTGTAAAATGAATATGCACTTTGTAATATTGAGCAAACTTAAATATTCATTGGATCTCTGTTTTATAACTATCATTCCTTGCTCCATCTGTCTAGCTTTCTGACTCTGTTTCCAGTCCCTAACCCTCACATCATACAGACTCTCAAACTATTTCTTTTGTCTTGGACCATTTAGTTTATTGCTCTTACTTTATTTTCAGTGAGCAATATACATATTCAGCAGTAAGGTAAATCTATCATCTGGAAAACAGCTGAGTCACGATTTAGTATTACATAAACTCATCATGTAGGACCCTCACTTCTCACACTACATATGGGTTCAGAGTCTTCTCATTAAAACCAGGTCTGGGGGTACCTGGCTGGCTTGGTGGGTTAAGCCTCTACCTTCATCTCAGGTCATGATCTCAGGGTCCTGGGATCGAAGCCTGCATAAGCTCTGTGCTCAGCAGGGAGCCTGCTTCCCCCTTTCTCTCTCTGCCTGCCTCTCTGCCTGCTTATGACCTCTCTCTCTCTGTCAAATAAATAAATAAAATCTTTAAAAAAAAATCAGGTCTGGGACAGGAGAATGGGTTCTCCATCCGAAAATAGGGAAATTTTCTCTGTATTATTCCTCATTGATTCACTGATTTGCAAAATATTTTCTGAAGCCTGTTTTGTACAAAGTTAACAATTTAGGGATATAAACATACATTTTAAAAATCTCCTTTTCTCAGGGGAGCTTATGACTGGGCATTGGAGGGGAATATACAATAATTAGAAATAAGACATTTGAAATGAAATTAAGGCAAGATCTCATTGGAGCACTAAGCACCACTCATTGGGCTAAATCAATTCTGATTGGTTATCACTACATAATCGATATTTAAATTGAACTTTGGTGAAAAACAAAATATTGATAGGTGGTAAAAGGAGTACCTAGAGAAGAGAAAAGTTTTTAAAGGATAGAGAAGTAATATACAAAATGGTACAAGAGTAAGAAATAGCTTTTGGTGTCCACTCAACAGCAAGTAAGCTGATGTGCCTATAATCCCTAATGATTTAAGAGAAGAACTGAAACGTGTGTCTGAAAAAATAACATGTATAAGATCATCAAGGTTCTTGAACTATGAAATAAAAATTTTGGATTGCACCATATAAAGGATGGGAACCATTGAAATTTATTTAGCAGAGAAATGACATGATATCCTCTTATCTTATTTTGTAGAGTTCATACCTGATGTTTCCTTTGTTTCCAGCACTTTCCATCAGAGCCCTTATAACCTCCATACTTTTATTTGGTCAAGTCCACAAAATAGCTTGCTTCACCTCTGTGGGAGGTATTTCATCTTTTCTGTTAAGTTTTGTAGGACTTTTTCCCAGGATCGTTTATATACTTCTCCCATCTTCTTTCCTTGTGCTCGGACTATACATTTTTTTATGATTCTTGTATAATAATTTCTTTACTTATCTGTCTCCATAACTTGACTTGAATTCAGGGAGAATTTATCTTTGGTCTTTGTGTCCTCGGTGTGCTTCTAGCATGTTGCCTTCTATATGCCTAATATAGTTTAGTTGACCAAATGCTGAGAAATATATCTTGGTAAGAAAAACTTGTCATCAGTGATGAAAATACACTGAATAGCTAACCGTGTAAAATCAGACATAATAATTCGGTGGTCACTCTAATGGGAGATCATGAGAGAATAAAAGAAGGTGAAGAGAGACAGGAAAGGAAGACACCAAAGAAATAAAGCTGGTTAGATGGGACTGAGGCATGGGGACTGATTTGAAGATGACACCAGAAAACTTGGAGAAAGTTTGTATATTATCAAGCATGGAATTGACTTTGCTAAAGGAAGATAATGAGCCTCTTTTGGATGATCTTTATTTGAAATATTTGTTGGAAATCCAGTTTTGTTAGCTATCTGGGAAACATAATAACCCCTCCTTAAAACATAGATGTGAGCAACTGTATCTTTTGTATAAAAGCCTAAAAGTTATCCCTAAACAAGTTTGGGCTACAATGAGACCATAACAGTGAGGGAAAAAAAAAAAAAATCAACAGAGAGAAAAATGTATACCTCAGCCTATTCCTTAGAAGCAATATAATATTATCCACTAATCTTAAGATTTGGGTGTTCCAAAGTTAGAGTTTTATTTAAATCTTGCTCAGCTGATTCAAAATTAATTTTGTGTTATTTTTCTTTTGCTTTTCTACAGTATGCCGTCTGGCTAGTCCTCTGGGTTACCTGGAATGTGTTTGTTATCTGCTTCTATTTGGAGGCTGGGGACCTCTCAAAGGTAATTTGCCATCTGATTTGCCTGAGTCATCAGTAGTGTGTTAACAAGCCTCTTCCTAAATAAGGCAGAGTTTCACCCTGCTCTTGTCACTTAGATCCACCTCGGATGAAGGTAAATTGAAAGATGTCCTCATCCAAATATCTGCTTTTCTACCATCAAAGATATGTTATCGTTTGTCACAAAAACGTGCTTTTATTAATGTAAGCAAAACTAGTGTGAAATAATGATTATTACGGGACCATCCTGTGTATTTTTAAAACATTGACTGATGAGAGATTTCTGAAGCAGAATACGAACATTTTCATTTTGAAAATTTTTTCATTTTGAAAAATTTGAAGGTTTTTGAAATCACTTAGTTTGTGTATTACTGTCCTAAAGGTTTTCCTGCTTGGACCCAAATAGCAATGCAATAGTTCAAACAATTAATGGATTTTAGTTGAATAAAATTGTTATCAGAGGGATGTGATTAATTGAATGCATAGTCTAGGAAAGACTTAAAATACTTACTTCTTCGCATAGGTTTTTTATTTTGTGCTATCCTCGTATGAGTGTGTTTGTTTGCTTGTATATGTATATTATTATTATATTTCTAACATGAATGCTTTTGCTATTGAAATAATGTAGTTTTTAGATCTCTAAAACCAGCATCCTTCTTCTATTGGAATGCAATTACCAGCAAATAAGCCAAATGAGATACTAGTAAATCCTGCTTAAGATACTTGCGAGAGTTGCAAACTTGTCCTTCCTATCAACTTTTAAAGACAGATTTTAAAATGTTCTATACCCTTTCCTTATTAGAGCAGAAAAACCCCTGCAAAGATATGGACATTTTTAAAACCCAGAGATGATAGCCTGTTTTGAAAGGTAAAGAGAACTAAAAAGTTGCCACGAAATATCCTTGTAGGGTTTTATATTTGAGAGGGTGGGAGATGGGGATAGTGATAATACCCATTTATAATCTAGCATACAGGAGCTGCACAGAGCACTCTGGGCTTTTTCAAGGAAGTTTATTATTTAACTGTGATGTGGCTTTATATCGAGTATAAATAATCTTGATTATTTGGCTGAATGGTAAATGATGAAGGGTAAAATAAGAGGGGACGTTACGGCATGACATAGAACCAAAGCTTCTGGAACCTGTGGTTTTATGATTGGATTTGGGGCACATCCTCACTGTGGCCTTCTGAGAACTCTGCGCTGGTAGATGACATTGAGATTCTCGCCAGGCATTGTCCTCCACACTCTTGGCAACAGGCGATCCTTTCCCGGAGGTGCCGTGACCAATGAAAAGAAATTGTTCAGGTTGACTATAAGAAGGACACAGAGAAGACAGCTGCTTAAAACTCACATTTCCTCTGTACCGGAGAAACATACCTGCTTCCCAAGACCTGAAACCCTTACCCAATTTATATACCCCTGCTGCTCTATAATCCACTTTCTTCAAAGAAATTCTATACTAGAATGATTTTTAATGATATTTTTTATTTAAAATAATCACCCTAAAAATTGGAAGGCATGTATTCAGATATATTGGCTGAGTAAAATAATCTAGCAGATCAGCGTTTATATATGATATATATATATATATATATATATATATATATATATATGAAGGAGAGAGGGAGATTTGAGCCAAGCTGCAGAAATGTTCTGTAATTGTGCTCACTTCTCCAGGTGATCACTGCAGGCAGAGAATAAAGCCTTGTGATCTCCTGACCTCAGACATGGGCATTGAATCCACAGTGAGGGCACATCCTAAAACATCATCGTTCAAGGCTCTTGCAACCCAAATGACTAAGAATTCTTTTAATGCACATAGGCAGGCAGTGTCTATCCTTTGGAAATGAAGTAGTTAATATTCCTTTTTCCTTTTTATCCTACCAAGGCAAGACTCTGCAGAGCCCATGAAACTTTAATAATTTCCTTTTAACAAATAATCTAAAGGAAAACCATAAAGGGCAAAGTTATATAGTTATCTCTACCTGATTTTTTCCTCCCTTTCCTACGCAACGGGTTTGAGAAAGGTGTATTTATACCATTTAATTCTTTAGCTTCTGCAACTGCCTCACATTCTCCAAGCAATGCAGTACCAGCAGGGAGCAATGGTGATTGAAAAGTATACAGATATATGAAAACTCAAAAATGGGACTCCTGAAACTGTTGATAATACTTAGATTACAGAATATAAACTGTTTTTTCCTCACTCCACCAAAAAATAAATAAAAATAGCTTGGCCATAGAAATGGGCCAGTTTGTTTGAGGCTGAGGGAGAAATATTGGGAAATAGAATCAAGGAGGAACTTCTGTAGTCTTTATATATATAAAAGAAGTGTGTTTATTTCCATAAAATGTTTCATAAATAGGTGATTTCTTCATGATGATTATAGGCAAGAAGTGATTAAAAAGTGGTAATTATTAAGGCAATTTTAATTACCTATTAGAGTTCAGAATTTTGTGTTGTCATTTTCCACAGTGTCTTTTCTGCTAAACTAAATGCCATGTAGTCACGAGCAATGAGAGATTAGAGTCCTTAACCAACCCGATGTATATATTCAGTGATTAAATGGTTTAATCACAATAATTTGACACATGGGTTTGACCTGTTTGATCTTCAGTTTCCTTATAACCTATAGTTGTATAGGTAATATATTTTGTTCATCAAATACTATCATTAAACTATCAATTAGTATATTTTAATTATTATTCTCATGAACCTATGGGAAAATAAAGCTAATCAACCAGAGAAATGGCTTTTTAAAAATTTTTTCTCAGTGAACTTGACAAAAGAATGGGAATTAATGTAAGACAGTATTAATATGATAACAATAAATAAACATTTATATTGCATAATTATTTCTACATTATTTACATTAATGATTTAGATACTAGTGTTATAGCTGAATATCCTAAAACATCCTACAGTGTGTTATTTCCTGGGTTGATATTTTAATAGATGTTCTGTTAAGAAAACAGAGATGACATTACTTTGTAATCCAAAGTGTCTGCGAACTTTGTTGGCAATTGCCTTTGAGCATTAAATGTGGCTTGGATTATTGGATTAATAGTTTTGTGAACTCCTCATGTAAATACTCTTATTGTTGCTTTGTATTATTCTGGACAGTTGTGATTTTCTTGCTCACATATCAAATAGAGAGAAATGGGAATTAATCCTAGCTTTCAACTGAGTTGACTTATTTTGAAAAGAGAAGAGATCTGCTATTTATTCTGTAGTAATTTTGAACTTCAAAGTGCATAGTAGTTAGAAGGAAAACACAAGTAATATGGCAATTCGCCTATTAGGTTCAGCACCTGGGAAAATGAAATTTATGAAATAAGTTTTGAATAGTAATACCCAGGGAAAATATATAGTGGTCTTCAGGTTATCAGTAAAAATCTGTATCCTATTGGATGTGATATAATTGAAATTATTCTGAAGCTGAAATTATATTCTAACACTTTTATTTTTATGACTTTTTTGAGCGCTTTGTTTCTACTTCTGTAATTTATTGGGCGACATTAGAGAATGATGCACCTGTCTTTAGAAATAAATTTACAGAGCCTAAAGTAGTAATTAAGGGTTTGAGTTACACTTAATTCAGCCCAATTTGTTTGTGTTTAACCATTTGAGAATTGGGATGCAGATACTTATCTCTCAGTCTTCATTATATTATCAGAAACTTCTCTAGTTAAACATAGCCTAAAGCAATTAGTCATGCCTAGTGATATGTATGTTTCAGAATGAACACCTTTAATAGCAACTTTTAGAAAGCTGTGATATCTTAATAATTTTGATAGTTGCTTCTAAGATCTAGATATAAATTTTCATTTTAATAATTTGATAGATTAAAAAAACATGAAAGAATATGAGCTATTTAAGCTTTGCGGAATAAAATTGCACTCCTGCAAATGTAAGAGACAGGAAGAAAATAAAACCCATCACACACTATAGGGAACAGGAAATAAATCCTTAAAACCAGATGCAAGTACTGTAGAAAAAAATATATACTATTGCAACAATCCCAGTTTTATTCCTTCTATAAAAAAATTATTCATTTAAAGAGGTATCTGATATTTGGATATTTTCTGCTCAATGAAATCAGTGCCTATATCAAACTTTGCTTTTATGATTTCATACAGACAAAAGATGGTATGGAGAGAAATCTGCTATAATCATTTTAATTGAATCAGTGCTATTCTTCAAGAAGTAAAAATATCTATGCAATTAGTCATAAAAAGAACACCTCTGATAATTTATTTAAGACTAAATTTAACAAATAGAAGGAGGAAAATTGATTTGATTATTTTAAATTTTGCTTTTCTTACTGCAAAATGCATATACTCAATTCAATTTTTTTAAATTTTGCTTTTCTTACTGTAAAATGCATATACTCAAAGAAAGCTTCACTTAACTATTACTAAACTAATAGGGAAAATTTTCATTTCCCAATCATCAAAGTAGATTTTGCTTTAGGATATAGAATAAAAATTTTCTACATGTTATTAAGAATTAAATATAATGCAATTTTGTCCCCCAAATAGAAGTAAACTAAAGAATTGTACTTTGGTAAAACCATCACTGCCTCTCTTCTCTTGTTTTCTTTAATAGTATATTGAATTACACTGCCTGTTTTCTTACTTCCTCAGTTCTCTTTGCTTACTTTTTCCACTTTACTTACTTTTTCCACTTATTTTCCCAAGGAAAATGGTCCTTGAACCTTTCTACTTCTCTGTCTCCACTCTTTCACTTGAAAATGCCATCTACTGCTATAATTTAAACTATCATATTTGCACATAAATCTGCCAAATTTCTATCTTCAGTTCTGACCTTGTTGCTAACTTAAAGCACCACATCTCTAACTTTCTGATAGTGTCATGTTAATTCCATTGTCACTTTAAATTCTCCATGTGCAAGAATATTTTTCATTATTCCCAAAGAATCCAACTTTCCTAATTCACATCTGACACAGAGGAGAAAATAAAAGGCAAATTATATTTTGAAA